GTTAATTTTCATTCAAAATGTGCCAAATATAAAGGCGTAATAATTCAGATTTAAAATAAGAACCGAGAAGGCTTGATCCAGGATCACGCACATCAGATTGGTAGGTTTGATCGTAATCTCCATTGCTAATTATCACTAAATAACAAACTAATAAAATATTAGACTTGCAAATCAAGAGTAGACAGTTACTTCCGATTACAAGTAGAAGAATAATAAAACAGTTCACCCTTAGCAGAGTTATGAAAATGGAAACTGTCCAAAGAAGCCAAAATCGATTTTAGTACCAGAGTGTAAACATGTTTTTTTTGGGGGAAAGTGACTGGAATTCATTGTGTCAAGTTATCATCTATCAAAAACTAGGCTAACATGCAAGTCTTTGGAATGTGGGAGGTAAAGAAACCAGAGACAGCACAGAGGCAACATGCCAACTCTACACGGCGGTAATTTTTGGTCCTTTGGCAATGGAAGCTCTGCAGGCAGGCGAACCTCATGGTTTGATGTTACCTTTTTAATTTCAGGCCACACAGATGATTCTGAAGAAATTGAGCAACATGGTGTAGGTTTACGTTCCAAATATTCCTCTTGAAATTCTAACAACAGAAAAGTATACATCTGATCTTTCCAGCTGCCCAGTTTTCCAGCCACATAACTGACTACAGATAAAAATATGAACTGCTCTATTTATACGTGTTTTAAAACTTTATTGCTCTGTTCAGAAGTCATCTTTTTTTGTAAATCTTTTTAATACATGTAAGGTAAGATTACTTTACAGAGTATTACTGTAAAGAAACGCCTTAAAAAGACAACCATGTCATTTTCTTTGGTGCCTTAGACATTGAAGTGAACTGAATTGAAATGACAACAAATAATTCAGCGCTTCAAGTTAACATCAGTAAATGTTTTTAAAATTGACACCCTGATTTTTGAATAAATACGTTTTATTTGTTATTCAGTTTAAATCCTGTGCTGTCATGTAACCAGCTCTCCAAACACACATGAGAACAAACTGATTTCAAGGGGGGAAAAAAATGCTCAAATTATAAAAAGTTATTTTTTTCATGCATTAGCTCCTTAGTCATTTTATGACAAGATGGATGGTGTCATTATATTTTAGTATACTTTTGAACTGAGGAAAATAAAGAGTATTTTACTTACCAATGTTGTGTACTAAGCACAAATTAATTTAAAAAGTTTCAATTTGAGCTTCAATTTAAATTTGCCAAAATGTTTGAGCAAATGTTGTATTAGGTTTGAGTTATGTTCCTCAACTCATAATTTTAAGGCTAAGGATATAAAGAAGTACATTTAATGAGTTACAGTGAAAGGAATTGCCTGTAATATAAACAGAACTTTGGATTTTTCTATTAATGGAAAATTTCTGTTAATGATACAAAAAATATACTGTGAATAAATGGGATTTTCTGTTTTATAGCTGAAGGTAATGTCCATAAATAGTACAGAGCATACTGTAAATGTACAGAATTTTCCATTTTATCATTTATGGAAAAGTCTGTTAACTTCCTTAAACTGAACAAACAATAAGAAAAATCATTCAAACTTCTGGAGTGTGTGAGCAACACTTTGGTTCACTATTGCATGATGTAGAAGGCCTTGATTTTATTTAAGTTTTTGTTGAAATTCAAATAATTCAAGTACTTAAAAGTGTAAAAAGTGAGTTCAAGTGTGAATCAAAGTAAAATAAAATTTCAGGTCAAAAAAATATATAAATCAAGTTGCTGGGCTAAAACAATTCATCACTGAAATTATGTTCACTGCTGTCTTGGAAAACACACTGTGCTGCTCCACTTCTGATATATTAATGAGACAATACTCTATTTTTGGGAGGCTACTGGATATTCTGGATAGAAAAGGTGAAAAGAGGAGCAGTAACAAAGGAAGACCGGCCAACAAGGACACAGTGGCTTCTTGTTTAGACATAAACTTTACTTTATATGATGCTATTGCTCCACCTGCCATAGCCAGCCAGCAGGTACCATCAGAGAGATTAATTTAATTTGAAAGTGGTTTTCCAAATAAGGTTGATACAGTCCAAGCTTGATACAAACGCAATAAAAAAAAAACAAACCAAGCAATATTTTGTATTTAAAATAATATAATAAATGCATAATAAGGACAATGACAAATTAAAAACAAAGAAATTTATTTTAGTATCACAAAAAAAATGATATTGCAAGCTTTCCCTAAACAGTTACATAAAATATATAAAATCATTTAATTTTCACTTCACAATTTAATCACAAAAACTGAAAGACTTTTCTCGTGAATTTAAAACAAACAAACAAACAAAAAACAAAAACAAAACAGGAAAATAGGATGGTAAACTTTGAAATATATTCACGCTGTCAGTCATAAACAACTGTTCGAATCTGCAGTTAAAACTTGGTTTTTGGGT